CACCTTGTCAAATCTGCAACATGAACTGAATTAATGCAGTTCTGAAGACCAAAGGAAGTCCTAATAAGGTTTGTGGTGAGTGTATGTTGATGTGTAAATGCATTTGTCTCTTAAAATATGTTTAGCTTATGCATGCATTTGTCCTTGCTCTCAAAAAAAGATTACGATCTTTTTACATAAAGAATTAGGAGTTCCCGTGAGCATGTCGCTTAGAATACACAAATATGCAATATGCACACAGAAGTACATGCTTGTGCAGGAGTGCTTGTACACAAATTACACTTAGACTCATGAATACACAGGAGCATGCACTGAAGTACATGCACGCGCTCACATACACATCCATATTTCATCTTAGCCAGACTCGGCTGATCGGGCCTTGCAGTGTTTGCATTAGTTCATTGAGTTCTGAATCAACTGTTAGAAGAGTCCACAGTACAATGAGGGGTACAATTAGCCTAATGAAGTGCAGGAGCATATCACACTCAGTGCTGTGCTAACAGTTGCTCAGTGAATATTCATGTGCTGTTGGCTTTGCAGATGCATTAAAAGGCAGCACTGCGTTGCTGAATACAAATTGTTACATTTCCACCCGTCGCTTCTCTGGCACCTCACTGAAGATGACATCCTTATCAGCCTCACTGCTCCAAGGCCTTTTGGAGTGTATTGCTTACACAAGCTACACCTCTTATCCAGTAAAATCTGCTGCTGTCAGTGACTTAAAATAAAAATAATTTCTCATAAAATATGATATTTAAACATATATTTTTAAAAAAATTGCTATAGAAGTAGATGCATGAACTCAATTATGTATTGCTGATGTTTTTTTAATTAGTTGAAAATGAACATTTTCATTTAGACAAGAAAAAAATGACATTCTCAATAAATAGAGTTAGGAGTTACACAGTGACTTTAACTTTGCACCCCCCCCCCCCCCCCCCAAATCCAGCAATGACAATTTTGTGGCTTCTTTGATTTTCTTTTGTTTTCAATTCTGAGTAATGAAAATCTTCCCATGAAGGCACTGCACATGCTAACCAAGTTAACTGCAGGAAGGAAATGGAAAACAAATTCCAGGTTCCAATGTGGCTTTTTTTAAAAGAAAAAGTTGAAATGCTGACTTTTGTTTTCCAAGGCTGCACGAATGCCACATGCATCCTGATTTACAGCAATTCAGCCTGCAAGCGACCCGCAATATTATCACAATCTTTCTGAAACAATGAGCTTTAAGTGGTTTCCCCATAATAGTTTCTTCCCCTTCTTTCGTAATCTCAGAAGGTTTTATCGCTCTATGTATTTCTCTCAAGCTCTGTGTAAAATGGGGTGTTTTCTTGGGGACAGTTTCAATATTATCTGCAGCTCACTGGTCAGCCAGGCATGCTTGCTGGGTAGGACAGACTGTGTCCCAGGCCAGCCAGATGGAGGTGAGATTATCCAACATTAGATGACATAATGGTGGGCCTTATTCCTCAGAGACAAACAGAATGATAAGCTACTCCTAAAACAGCATGAAGGTGAAGATGAATTTTAGGATTAGTAATATTTTACTAGCTGTACAAGTACTGGCACAACAGAAGCAGCAAAAGTGGCACTATATATCTATTCCAGTGAATACAAAGATTAATATTACTTTGCGCCCATGTCGTAAAATAAAATGGTTTTGATTTTAAACAATTATTTATTTATTCATAAGAACTTTACGTGGGTGAAAAAGATTTGGATATATTCTCCTACTTGAGGCACTTAAGTAATTACAAAAGAAACAAACCAAAAGTTTAAAAGCCAATCACAAAAACGAAAAATGAACAAAAAAAAGTCAGAGTACAGAGTAAAATGGGATGGGTGTGTTTGGCTACCGGATGATCTTGGGCCAGAGTGAGACATAAATTTTATGACTAAATGTGAAAAGAAGCGACAATGCAGTCATTGCTCCAGGGGATATATACTTCATATTGTAACCAGTGAATACATGAAAAACACAAAATCCAGTGAGTCATACGGACAGTAACTCAACACTGTCACCTGGAGGCGCCTGAGTGTAAATATTCAGGAGGCGATGAAAAAGGGAAAAGCTGGATTCTCTTTTAAACAGTACTTGATCTTGTTGACAATTCTTAACTATTAGACTTTAGGAATCTCAACTTTGTGGTGTTTAAATATTTTTTGCCTCTGTTGGATACACACTTAATTTTTTTAAATTTTTTTTTTACATTTTGGGGGTTTTCCAGAGGAATTTCGATGTTCCAGAGTGTTGCAATTCTGCAATTGGGAAACTGTAGAGAAATGTATTTAGAAGAGTGACTATTGCCTCTCAGTGAATTCTGTATCCATCTGTGAACTGATGTTCAAAAACAGAGACAAAACAGTTAAATTGTGACTAAAATGATTTTGAGGAACTACTTTACAAATAGGAAATGAGACGTATCAACTTCCTTTCCTTAACATTACCACAGGACTGCCACGGGTGCAGAGTATTCCCACAGCAACTACTGACAGAAAGAAGGAAAAAAAAAAACTAAGCCCAAGAGGAAAATGTAACAGTGAACCTCTGAGTGAATGGAGATGCAAGGCACTGAAATCTATGAGCTCTGGAAACCGCCTGAAAGCAAATACTGTACGTTAGAATGTTTGAATGTCAACATCCTGTTCGCTTCTATCGTACAGAGAAGGCTTCATTGATCCCCAGAGCTGAGGCGATGCATAACTGCATAATAATTTGGAGCACCCGAGACACTCAATGCGGTGAACATGAGTTAAAAATTCCTGAAATGACTCTTTTATTAATCGAGAAACTGAGAACATCTGCATCAAAGTGCAACATTACAGTCTTCCATCCATTAATAGCTTTGACACGTTATGAAAGTACAGGTTGAAATTGACACTCAAATTAAGACCACACATACACAGAATGTCTATATGAAGGGGCCTTTGATCAGACTTCTCCCACTAGGTCTTCTTGAAATGCTAAGTTTGTTTTGGTGTTAAGTTTGTTGGAATAGAAAAAAAAGGGTCCTTTTTAAATTGTTGAATTATTCATCTATCTAAAGTGGGTTATTATCCATTTAAGGATGCTCTTTGTATGCGTGTGTATAAAACAAAGAAAAGCTAAAAGAGTGAAGAAAAGAACAGGTTTGAACCCATTATTTCAATAGGAAGCTGCAGGTTCTTGCATTTGCAGACATGTGGCATTGTTTCAGAACAAATTGGATTTCAGTGTAATCTTTCTAATGTCCTCCACACACCACATAGCAGATGGGCTACACCTGAAGCTGAGGGTCTGTAGTTGTAGGCTGACAGTGCCCTCACTTGGCCAAGCTTTAGCACTGTAGGAGAATGTTGAATGTTTCTTTCTCTGCCAGCCAACAAACAACAGTGGGTCCGTGGCCCAAATAAAATGTTTTTTTAAGTCTTCATAGAGGTCGTAGAATTTCTTAGGGTGACCACCGAAACATTTACCCACACAGCAGGTAACCTTCAAAAACAACTTTAATGTGCATAAGAAGACATGAACAACAGATGACACATCAAAGCATTAAGTGAGTCGTCTCTAAAAATAAAGATTTAAGAGATGAAAAGGGATACATACAAGAACGAAAACCTATAGAGACACTTCTGTACCTAGACATACAGCATCTCTACCAATATTAATTCTGAGCATTTGATCAAACTGGTTTGGTTTGGGAGCAGTGTTTTTGTGCAAACTGTTGTTGTCTTCCTGAAAAGGCATCAGAACTCAAAGGAATCTCCAAAGAATATAATAAAATACATTAGATGTAGCAGAGCAGCTGTCTTTCTGTTCAAAAACTGACACACTTGATAAAGTTTGTGGTTCTTCGGTTGCGAAGAAAATGCGATGTTGCGGAGGAGACGACCCCTTCGCTGTTAATGTAGTCCTGTGCAGAATGAAAGTGGGTGTTTCCCTTAGTCTTGTTGTTGCTAAATATATGGGAGGCAGAAAACGCTCATAAAAGCTTTTACAAAAATCAGGACAAATGGGATTTTAGCTGAATTCAGATTAGGTTGCAGGGTTCATTTTTATTCTTGAAAACTGCAGTTTTTTTCCCACCTGTGTCCAAAACACTTTGTTCCCTTAATGTCCTTAAAAATCACAGGACTGTACAAGACCATTTAAGGCTCAACTCGGTCCACAGAAAATCCCCCCTCCCAGCACGCTTGTTGACAGTCTTCTCCTGTAAGACGCATATCAGGGGAGGAAGGCGACGAGGAGTCATGTGTGACACCATATAGTCCAGCTTGCGAATGGTCAAGTTGTAATGTGGGGAAAGGTGGAGGCCAATAAAAGAAGACAGAAAAAAAAAATCCTGGTACCAATTTAGGCAGGAGTGCCCACTTTTCTGTAGTAACAGCATTATTAGCCAATATTTTCACTAATTACACTTACGCCAATTAGGCCGACATTACAGAAACTGGGGAACAGTTATTTGAAACTGTTGATGAATTGCGGTTTTTAGAAGACGGAGATGAGTGCGAAAACCCCATAAAGCAGAGCGCATGGGTAAGCAACCAACAGCTGCTGCCCATCCATGGCCAACGCTGAGATGAAGATCTTCGAGGCTGAGAAACTGCACCAGCTAATGATTGTTGCTGTTAGTATAATTCCCATCATGCCTCTAGAGAGGACAAAAAAATAAGCAGAAAGTTAGACTTACTACTAATAACTGATGTTATTTACGGGCTGTACTACAATAATACGACAAAACTCTTTATTTTAAACTACTAGATTGTATATTAATCTAGTAAATAAATACTATATCTTTTTAAAAGTCCTTTTGCCAGATTTGCAGGCTACATTAACAATCATAAACCTTTTTGTTTTCCTGTATACTCACTGTAAAGAGAAGAGAACTCCAAAACTTGAGAGAATGATCATGGGGAGGAGGCAGTATCCCAGCACGCTGGCCACGCAGCCAAACGACACGCCTGTCATACTCATGAGGTTGAGTAGGCAGTACATGCCAAGGCAGCCAATTGCACTGATGCCATACACATAACCAAACTGGATTTTACCTGACTGTAAACAGAGAGGAGGGGAAAAAAAAAAGATCCACACAATTAGATATGGACTACACCCACCAACAGTTCACACATTGAGTTTGTACAGTTATATGCTCTGTGCTTTTGTTTTTTTAACAGTAATTTAATTGCCAGAACACACAAAAATAATTTGACTACACAGCAGTTGTGTGCCGTTTCAACTATAGCTGATAAATAAAAATCCATTTGCATGACTCAGATTTGATTGGAAGCAGCCATTTACACTGAGATCTAACTCAATGATCACACTAGGAGATTGTGATCACAAGATTATAATGAGACTCAAACTAAAAAAAGTAAAACAAAAACAAAATTACTGTGGATATCAAAGCTATGAATTTGGTACAGTCTAATGAAGCAGAAGCTCATGATGAAGGCCTTGTGCATAAGTCTCATAAAAAAAGATGGTGCATGGTAAACAAAGATTCATAGTTTTCTCATAACTTGAGCACGTTCAACTGAACAAAACCAGAACACTTACTTTACTGATAATTTCATTACTGATAGTGCTAACAGTTTGTAATGTAAAAGACTACACAACCTCTGACACATCGATACCAATCTACCCAAATTATAATTAAGACTTGGCACTTTTATTAATGTAGTAGCCAATATTTTATTATTTTTAAGTACTATTACTCGTCTTTACCAGTTTATCTTCTTTTTATTTTTCACCTAAAAATCAACCAAATGATTTACCAGAAGAAGTGTTGCTCCAAAGGCCAAACAGAACACCATAGGCCCGGCCAAGTCTGTCTCGTTCATGATGCTGCCATCTGCTACTTTCATTGGATGGAGAACCGTCAGAGTCTTCTGCCAGATGTGGTCAAAATTGATTCCTAATTCTAAGAGAAGAAGAGATGAGACATTTCAGATATTTATACTATACTATTTTCTATAAAAACACCAGGCCCTATTGGTTCCAAACACATCTGTCCTCCACAAATACTCAACCGGGGATTTCTTCGATGAAATGCTTTCAGGTGTGTCTTCACACCTGAAATCTGAATCGTAATTGTAGATTTTCCAACTAAATAACGGCTCAGTCCTAAAACGAAACTCACAATGAAACATTACCAGTTCAGTATTATTTTTTTTTCTACCCTGAATTCTGATCATATTACAGAAGAGTACAGAGAAGATATGATGAATCCAGTTTTAACTGCAGGACAAAGTCAAGTAAAGTAGTGCCAATAGTCGACGTTCAGGATCGATGGTGGTCAGAGTAATCATCAGTCATCAGAGTAAATTGTATTAGACTGAATCTGCCTTTTTATAGTTTTGTGTAAGCATCTCCACATATAAGCAACACTGAAATATAAATGCATCTGGGTGGGCAAGTGCACATATTATGCGTTTGTGGAGCAGCTACACATAAACAAATTATCATCATTGTCAAATGACAGATAACGGAAGTATATTTCTGAATGCAGAGATGCAAGTTCAGGTCTTTAACCCGGATTTTGATAAACTAACACCAAAAATTTCAACTGACACCGGTCAAACACAATGTACTGATTTCCCAGAGTACAGATTTATATACTTATACTTGTTTTGGGGATAAGGTACTGTAAGACTACAGAAAGTACTGGAACCAAATATCTACAAACACTACAGTCAGAAACACTTAAAAAATAAATAAATAAATAAATAAATAAATGTCTGCAGTCTTTCTCAAGCATGTAAGTAGACGCAAAATAAAACAATAGGTCTGCCAAGAACAGTCAGAAAAATCAAGCCTGCCAGTTACGCAGACACTTGGCCGAACTCCATCATTTGATCCATCAATGCTTTTATTCTATCAAATCGTTTTGTAGTCATGAAATTCTCTGAGTCTGGAAGCAACTGCAACAGGCGAGTGAAACTCTAATTTCATGCTTTGAGAGACAGTTTCTCTGCTGAATATCAGAGATGATACTGAAGGCTGATTTCAACAATGCTAAACTTTTGCACTGCCTTGAAATCATATCAAAGACTGACAAACAGTACTTGCAGTAGCTGATTCAATTCAACAAAGCCATTAAATTTATAGTATTATGAAACAAGAAGTAAAATAATTTTTCTCAGCAAATGATAACAACCATACTAGTCAGCTTTCTTGCTTAAAAAGAAAGAATAACTGGAAGAACTATTGAGATACATTTCACAGAATGCAATCGAGATAACTTAATGGATTACTCTTTTGCTCTGGTTTTCTATAGTATTGAGACTGGAATGAAATATTTTTGCTCAATCTTGCTGATAGACAGACAGACAGACAGACAGACATAACACATCGGCATGTAGTCTTGGTACTTGACATACCTTCTAGCAGCGGTGGCTCGTCATCAAAACTGTTACTGTACATGGACTGTGATGCTGATGGTGTGTAGGTCTGTGTGGGCTGGAAGATTTGTCCGGTGTATGGTTGCTGGGGCTGCATTACTCCTGGGGATGAGTAGCCCATGGGCTGGGAGTAATCATATTGACCATATGGCCTGGGAAATACACAATAATAAGTAACTGGAAACTTAATTTAAAAAAAAGCTTTAGAAACGTCTCTTTTGTATTTACTCAGGTAATCTTTGTCTAATATTAAAATGTGTTTGAGGATTTGTGTGACAAATATGCAAAAACTAGGAAATCAGGAAGGCGAAAAATACTTTTACATGGCACTACATGTCAAATACACAAGTTTCCAAAAGATCAGGAGATTAGTTTTGAGCACCTGAAATGGCCCAGTAATAGTGTAACAGCAGCTGAGAAATTATCAATTAAAAATGGCTTCATACACTTACTTATTGTAGGGGTTGTCAGTGTTGCTGTAGCCATAGCCGGCTTGGCTTTGGTCATCTACACTGTAGCTGGACTGGTAAAAGTCTGTGTTAAAGTTGTCAAAACCCGACATCTCTTACTCTGAAAGTAAAAGAAAACACAGTCGATCAGCGTGAAAAGTTATTTTAATGCGTCTGCTCTATATACAGATAAAACACTCTTACACTGCACAGCATAGACTCGCTTAACAATGCCAACTTCCTTCGTAAGCTATCAATATCAATTAGAAATACTCAGTGTTGTTATCCGAAATGTCAACCTTTGCATTTAATCTTTTTATGCTAATTACCTGACACCTTTAAACACGTCATCGTACACAAATGCGCAGCGACCAAATTTCAAGCCTAAATGCACAAACAACGCCACGTGACACTAGTAGTCATATTTAAAAAAACAAACAAAAAAAACCCCATTTTTACCTTCCATTTGTTTGTTAACAATAAGATATAACAATAAGCCTCACAACAATTAACGCTAGTTGGGTCCCTAAATGCAGCAGTGCTAAAGCGGCTAACAAAACAAACCAATACCGTAAGCTGTATGCTTCAAGCATTTTCTTGGCTTATTGTTAGTAACTGTTCCATCTATAAAATGGTTCAACAGCTACGACCACGGACACGTAGATGAATAACTGGTGCTTTCGGTACACACTGAGCTACTAATCTTTGGGAGGCTAACGTACCGTTAACTCTGCAGCTAATTGGCTAGCTAATGCTAGCCATAATAGCCGACACAGACCTAACTTACACAAAATATCAGCGACGGCTTACTACTCAATCCAACATTTCAAACTTAATCACTATTCTCACGCTATGAAACACCACGGTCATGCAAACTCTTACCTGTGCTGTGTGATAACTCTGCCCAGAGCCCTGCCAACTTCGCTGCGGCTGCTACGTGTCAGGAGAAAGGTAAATCTTCCGGGACCAGCCGTCGCTAACAGGAAATTGTTGGGACCACTGACAAATTCCTGCTCGCAGAATATCTGGCGCATCCTGCCGGCGATTGATGGTACTACACGTCCATAAAAATCTCTTGCTACCAAAAGGAAGAAAAACAAAACAAAACAGAAGACCAAGGAATACATATTTTGACTTTGTATACACTTCAGTCACTTCTCGGTTTACACACCTCGCAAATAAAGGCAATTACTGTTAGTTTCTGTGTTTTCTG